TAGTGTATTCATACGAATTATGTTAGGTTACTTGCTCTAAATACAGATTCCTGGGCCTCACTTCAGACCTAATGAATTCAGTCTAGGGAGGAATCTTATGCAGGTGGTCTTTGAACCAAATAGATATAGTCCCACTGTCATCTAAATTCTGTTTATAAAGATTAGTCTTTTTACTGTTTCAATTACTGCCATCTCAGAACTTTTTTCTTTCTTTTTTTTTATCCTCACCCAAGGACATTTTTCCATTTTTTTGTTCAGGTAGAGGGAGGGAGAGAGAGAGAGAAACATCGACGTGAAAGGGACACATCAAGTAGTTGCCACCCACACAACCCTACCAGGGCCGGGGACAAACTGCAACCGAGGTACATGCCCTTAGCGGGAACCGAACCCGGGTCTTTCTGGATCACAGGCCGATGCTCTAACCGCTGAGCCAAACCGGCCAGGGCTAGAACTTTTTTTTTTCTACTAATCATGGACATCCTTAGTTTTTCTAAATGTCCTACATTCACTCATTGGAGAGCTCATTCTAGGAAACTGTCCCAATTCCAATTTCCTTCCTTGTTTGTCAGTTTATCTTTCCTCCCTTCCCAAAGCACACATAGTTCAATATGTACATCCAGTTATGTATACATGATCACACAAATATTTTTGTTGTTTATTGTTAATTTTTGCTTTGATTTTTTTTGTTTGTTTGAAAGTAGAAGGGAGGGATGGAGAGAAACATCGATGTGTTCACATCGATTGGTTGCCTCCCACATGACCCTGACCAGGGGCCAGAATTCGAATCTGAAACCCAGCCCTTGACCAGGAATCAAGCCCAAGAGCCTTGGGTCCACAAGCCATTGCTCTAACTGCTGAGCCAAACCAGACAGACAGACATAGACAGACACACACACACACACACACACACACACACACCCCTATCTACCTACCCACATACCTGATAATATCTTGCCTAGTAATTTTCAAATTGCCTATTTTTCCCACTGGAGAAATTTGTATGTTATTTAAATTTTTAATTTTTCATCTTTTCTGGCAATGTGATACATTATAGGCGTCCAAATGTGTACATTCTTTACTGCTGTCTATTGGTTGCTGCTTACTTTAAAACCAATCAGTCTCATAAAGATCGAAAGGGGAATTATTTTAAAACTTTCAGGAAAAGTCATACCTGTAATTCTCATATACTGTTTCCCTTTTTTTTTTTTTTTTTGCATTTATCTTTAGATAGAGCAGGAAGGAGAGAGAGCGAAACATACACGTGAGAGAGACACGTGGAGTGGTTGCCACCCACACGACCACAACTGGGACCCGGGACAAACTGCAACAGATGTACGTGCCCTTAGTAGTAACTGAACTTGGGACTCTCCGGTCCGCAGGCTGACGCTCTAACCGCTGAGCCAGACTGGCCAGGGCTCTCTCTTTTTTTGTAAATTATTAGTATTTCCTTGGTGCTAATTTAAGAATAATTCTCCCAGCCCTGACCAGTTTGGCTCAGCGGTTAAGAGTGTCGGCCCTTGGACCGAAGGGTTGAGGGTTTGATTCCCAGTCAGGTTTTCAGGTTTGATCCCTGGCTCTGGTAGGGTTCATGTGGCAGGCAAATGATTGATGTTTCTCTCCCTCCCTCCCTTCTACTTTATCTAAAAAAAATTCATAGAAAAATATCCTCGGGTGAGGATTAACCAAAAAGTAAATAAATAAAGGAGAATGATTTAAAAATGAAGAACTCTCCCATACTGCACATTGGTCTTGAAGCCTATTGACTTTTCCTGAAGGTTTAAAAATAATTACCATTCCCATATGGACTGTATAGTTGAACCCCTTAAATGAATTTTCCTAAAATTTTACATTATGGTTCCACATATAAAAGTCCAAACCATACATTTTTAACACAAACTCAAAATGTCTAAGTACCTGATTTGCTCTTCAACAGCCTTTGTATATTAACCACATTACACCAGCATTTACTTTTTTAAAGAGCTGGTATTTGTGGGCTGGAAGGATACATATAAGGCAGTTTACCTTTTCACGTGGTTGGATGGTCAAAGAAGGAACATCAGTTTTATTCGTAATGTGAATTGTCTGAATGTTTTGGCAATTTAAAAATTGGGTTCTTATTGTTCAATTTTGAGAGTTCTTTGTACATTTTGGACACTTGTCCTTTGTCAAGTTAAGTGATTTGCAAATATTTTTCCCTAGAGTTTTTGTGTCTTTTCATTCTCAGTGTTTTTAGGAGAGCAAAAGATTTTAATTTGGGTGAAATTCAGTTTCTCAGTTTTTGATATAGTGAGAACTTTTTTTTTAAATAAACCAAATTTAGAGATCTGTTTTCTTCTAGAAGCTTTAGATTTGAGGCACATTTTGGCTTATCACTTTGAGTTAATTTCTGTATACAGTACCAAGGTTTGGTTTGGCTTTTGGTGTTGGTTTTTTGTCTTATGGATGGATATCCAAATTGTTCCAGCACCATCTGTGAAAAAGCACTGTCCTACATTGATCTGCCTTTTCACCTTTGTTATTCAGTTGACCATGTTTGTAAGTCTATTTTAAGACTCCATTCTGTTCCATTAATATGTCTGTTACATTAACTTTATAGTCAGGCGGCATGGGTCCTTTTTTCGAAATTGTTTTGGCTGTTCTGATTCCTTTTCCCATATACGTTTTAGTAGCAACTTGATTTCTTACGCTCTCCAACCCCACCCCCAAAAAGAGCCTCTTGTGAATTTGACTGGATTTACATTGAGTCTATAAATCAGTTTAGGGACACTTAACAAATCTGAGTCTTCTGATCAGTTTCTCTTTACTTCATTTTCTCTCACCATTTTATAATTTTCAACATTAAAATCTTGCACAAAATTAAATTTATACCTAAGTATTCCAGTCTATGCCATTTTAATGGTGTATAATCCCCATTTTATAGATGAGGAAATTAACTTGCCCGGGGTAACAGAATTATTAAATGATAAAGACAGTTTGAAACTTACATGAGCTTATAAACCACTATTCTGGCTTTAATTACGGTGTTAGTTTTATTATAAAATTGTTGTGGGTACAGTGGTGGCAGAAAAGGAAGTCCTAACTTATTTTAACGACAACAAAACCCCGTTACTGTGCTATTATAAAATAATTGATTTTGCTCTGGCCAGTGTGCTTAGTTGGTTGAGCATCTTTCGTCCTCCCGTGCACCAAGAGGTTGCCAGGTTGTGATTCAGGTCAGGGTGCATGCCCAGTAGGGGGCTTGCAGGTGGCAGCTGGCTGATGTTTCTCCTCTCTCTCTAAAATCAATAAAAACATTTTTTTAAAGATGTGATTACCCCCAAGTTTATATATTTTCTGAGTCTGAGTGTTCCAGATCTTTTCATATCATAAACGATGCTCACCTTAATGCACACACCTCTCTGATCATTATAGTAGTGGACCAGTGTTTTTATTCCAGGATATTTTTTATTATTTTATGATTACAGTTTGCATTCAACACTTTTGTATTAGTTTCAGGTGTACAGCACAGAAGGAATGTATTCATATAGGTTACAAAAGTGTTCCCTCTGATAATTCAGGTGCCCAACTGGCACCATAGCTATTACAGCATTGTTGACTATATTCCCTGTGTTTTACTTTACTATACCTGTGCCTGTTTTGTAACTACTAATTAGTAGTAGTACTTAACCCCATCACTTTTTTCCCCCTGCTCTACCCCCTGCATGCCTCTTCCCTCTGGCATCCATCAGTCTGTTCTCTGTATGTATCAATATGTCTGTGCCTATTTTGTTTATATTCCACATTAAGTGATAGATGGTATTTGTCTTTGTCTGGCCTATTCCACTTAGCATAGTACCCTATAGGTCCAAACATGCTGTTGGAAATGGTAAAATTTCATTCATTTTTATGACTAATAGTTCATTGTATACATGTACCACAGCTTTTTTATCCACCTATCTATTGATGGGCACTTGGGTTGCTCCCATATATTGGCTACTGTAAATAATGCTGCAGTGAACATGGGAGTTCATATATTCTTTTGAATCAGTGTTTTGTGTTTCTTTGGATATATACCCAGAATTGGTATACCTTATACTGCAGTTCACTAGTATGAATTATTTCAAATTTCAAAAAATGTGTACTGTTAGAATTTGGGTGCCTACTTTGTGCTTACCAGTGAAAATGAAAACCATCTTTATTTGAACAACTCCCATCTGTGGGAGGGATAGTAAATACCACGATAGACACATAAATAAAGGCCAGTGGTAGAACAAAAGCTTTCACTTGGTTAGGGTTAAGAGTACTCTTACCACCCTGGCCGGTTTGGCTCGGGGGTCAGAGCGTTGGCCTGCGGTCCAGAGAGACACCGGGTTCAGTTCCCGCTAAGGGCACGTATCTTGGTTGCAGTTTGTCCCCAGCCCTAGTTGGGTCATGTGGTGGCAGCCACTCGATGTGTCCCTTTCACATAGATGTTTCTGTCTCTCCCTCTCTCCCACTCTTATCTGAACGAAAAATGAAGGAAAAAAAGTCCTTGGGTGAGGATAAAAAAAAGAGTACTCTTACTCATTTCATGTTTTGGAGTTCACTTTTTTATTTCAGTAGTCTGACAACTATTTAGTGGGAAACATGTAAAGGGCTTTGAGAGGGAGAAATCATTTTAGAAGGCTTTCTTGGGGTGATGGTCCAAGTCCTTAGGAAAGACTACTTAAGAAATAACCTATGCATGTTGAATTCAATATAGATATGGTATTGAGTGTAGGGAAGTAAAATAGAGATCTAGTCTGGGTTCCATTTCCAAAGGTAAAGAATTCAAAAGTTTAGAGACAACATTAAGTCATGATTTTCATTTGTGGATTTCTTCTGGTTTCTTAACATTTTATTAAGTGGGTATTTTTACAGAATGAGAAAGGAAATGTTAATTTGTCATCTTAATTTGCTCTTTAATCTTAATTTGAAGAATATTTTATATCAGTCAAGTATACTGATGACTTACAATGTGATTTTTCTCATTTATTTTTCAGATCCCTTTTAAGAATGATAGACATAAAAGCAAGCAGTATTGTCAGATAAGTACTTTTTTTAGTCTAATTATATTTTATTATTTGTAATTTCTAAACCAAAACTTCATTCTTTAAAACATTTTTCTTTTTTCTTTTTTAGGTACCAGCATCAAGGTTTACAGTAATAAAGGTACTCAGTCTTTTCTGAAAATAAATTTGTAGTCTTGTACAAAGTAAAATGTACCAGCTTTCTCTTTCCTCAGAGGCCAGTCTATCTCAATGGTGTAGTTACCTAGTGCCCCTACAACTGAACCTAGGTTATTAAACCTATATATAGTATGTATGAAAACCAAGGCCAACACTGGTGTCATTCTGAGTTAAATGTATGGGTTGTAAAATGTAACAACGAATTTTATATAAAAGAAGCCATGGCAGATTGTTTTTGGCTTGTTTGTATAGTAGTTAGCTATTCAAGTATAATGATTTGCTATTTGAACTACATAGATGCTCAAAGTCCAGCAGTACCCTGCTGCTAAACTCACTGACTAGATTACCTTCTTAGGAAAGCATGACAGTTGAATGGAGTGTTACTGGCATGAGCCCAGCAAATGGTGTGTACACCTGAGTACTTGGCCTGCGGTCATATTGTTTCTTCCTGCCGTGAATGCTGTTTAGGTTATGACAGTTGCTCTTGTAAGCCACAATTCTGAATATTCCTCATTATCAGTTCTGTTTCACAGAGCACTTCCATATATATTCTCACTTATTGAAACATAAGTATTTTTATATGAACTTTACAGATTGAGAAATTTCATAAGTGACATAATAGCAACTTTGTGGATACTTAAATCCACTCACCACAATAAAAGAAAAAAAAAAAATTCTTGACTCTCCTGAAACATCTTTCTTGTGTGTGTACACCTAGAGGTTAACAGAGGCTTATGACCAGTAATCATTTCACTAAATACAAAACTGGGCAGTGGCATCAATTAACTGCCTATTACATTGGTAGGTATTTTTTACACAACATCCCAGAAGAATATGATTTTTAGATCCTGAGGGATGGAATGGAACTTTGAGTTAACCTGATTCCAATGCCCCTATTTGCAGTATTTTAACTAAGAAATTTTTTAATAGGCTTAAATCTACATTTTAATCCTAAGTAATATGTGCTCAATTACTCCCACCAACTCTGTCAAGCAGATATTAACCAAACTTCAGTAATTATAAGACAAAAATTTAATGAAAATTGGTAAATGGGTATGTAATAATCCAAAGGGCTAAACAGTTAGTTACATGGGGACTATATTAGAAATTTAAAATACATTCTGAAGTAAATGTTACATGTTATCATCATCTGATTCATCTTCTTCCTTCAAAGATTCCTGTTAAGAGAAAAGAGCATTTAAAATCAATTTTGAATATTACAGCAACCTGAATCTAATTAGCCACTTATTAAAAATACTTTATAACTGAAAAATGAACACTGGTTTAGAATAAGGCACCCAACTAAAGAACAATGATAATTAAATATACCTTGTTTTAACAATTAACTTTTAAAAAAATCAAATACAGTATGAAAGCGTTAAATGTCCTGAAAAATCCTTGCCATTTTTACAAAATACGTACGTGTGTGTGTGTGTGTGTACATATATATATAAAAACCACAGCAACTTTATCCCCACCCCATTGAGGAGAACCTAGAAAATTTCTATCCTCAGTTCAACCAACTTTTGTTATTTAGTATAAATTATTATTCTATGCTTATTTCCATGCAGTTACTTACCTTAGCATATTTCTCTGCCTCTTCCCTTACATCTTTTGGAACAATTTCATGTCTTCCTTTAGTTACTAGAAATTAAGTCATATATTTAAATGAATTAAAAACAAGGACTATATTGTGATTTGCAATACCATGCAATCTACCTAGTGCAGAGGTATGGTCCATCTAAGGTTAATGCTGTAAAGTTGTACTTTGAGTAATACCAGATGCTTTGAATTCATTTTTATGTGTTTTCTCCAGGCAAGATTAAATCTGCACAAATTTAGTTCTTATGGAAACAAAGAATAAATTATGCTATGATTTACCCTGATGCTATGATAAATCTTGAGTATTCATGTACAACATGATTTTTTTTCTAGTCTTTTGTTTTTCCTTTATTGATTTTAGAGAGGGAGGAAGGGAGAGGGAGAGAGAGCTAGAAACATCCATGAAAGAGAACACTGATTGGCTGCCTCCTGCATGCCCCCCACTGGAGATCTGTCCCACAACCTGGGCACGTGCCCAGACCAATGGGGAATCGAAACGGCGACCTCCTGGTCCATGGGTCAATGCTCAACCACTGAACCACACTGGCTGGGGCAAGATTAATTTTTTAAACTGGCCTTGAATCTCTATGGTTACCATGCTAGAAAGAAAAATTTGATTTCTCAGTAATATTTTTTAAAAACATGAAATGGATGTTTCAAAAAGTTAAACTATTCACAATTTTAAGCAGAAGTTTCCTTTTAAAAAGACTACCTGTTTCAGGCTTTCTTTGTTCTGTGTCAGAACACCTTTGACAATACCTAGTACAATGGAAGATACGCATATTTCATGACCTAGCAGTTCTTATGTATATTTCCAACAGAAATGCTATGCAGGTGCACCAAAATAACTGTACATGATGTCCACAGCTGCCATATTTATTGCAGTAAAAACAAACAACTGGAACGAGCCCAATTGGCCACCAACAGAAGATTAATAAATTGTAGTATATTTAAACAGAACACTAAACAGCAAGGCAAATGAACAAATTATTTAAAATACACAGCACAAATGACTTACACAAATATAATGTTGAAGAAAAATCAGACAAAAGAATACATATTGTATAATTCCATTTATGTAAACTTTAACAGGCAAAGCTATGGTGGTAGAATTCAGGACAGTGGTTACTTTCAGGGACTGATTTCAAGGAGGCCTAAGGGGTGATCTGGTCTGTTTAATACTTAAAACAAAAGGTTTTTGATAGATTTTAGAGAGAAACATTGATTTTTGTTTCACGTGTTTATGCATTCATTCATTGGTTGCTGCTTGTGTATGTCTTGACTGGGGATCAAACCCAAAACCTTGGCAGCTCAGTAACTGAGCTACCTAGCTAGGGGGCCTAGTCTGTTTGTTGACCAGAGCAACGGTTATGACTGTATTCATGTTGAAGTAGTTCATCAATTCACTTAAATTGTGTATTTTTCTATATGTATATATCATTAATGAATTACTTAAAAAAATTTTTTTAAGGCATCCAGTGGTAAATTAGGTTTGGTACAGACAACTTGAGAAAAAATAAATTCATAAAAGTAACTTACTTTCACCAACCCAGCTGAGCTCCAGCTCAAAAGCTTTATCCTTAACTTCATCGTGTACTATGTAAATTCTAAAACGGTAAAGGGAAAATTATAACCATCATTTGGTTATCTACAAACACACAGTTCAAATACCCAGTCAGCCGAAATTAGAACACCCATTCCTAGTATAAGTATGAAATTATACATATACATATTATGCAGTTTATATTTATGAACACTAGAAAAGAAATTACACAAGGATTGATAAACACTACAAATGATTCAATATACTTTTAAAATCAATGTTGTTTTGATAACAGTTTTAGAGACATAACTAAAAATGATACCTCATAAGGAACAAAATAGGGAACAACCATTATTACTTGTGCCTTTCAGGATATTTGTTTTCTCCATTCACTCATTTTAAAAATAAACGAATCTCTGAGTTTGCAATTAGTGGTCTCTTCTATCTGCAACTTCTTGGCAGAAATCTTTGTAAAATTTGGTCCATTTTCCCCTTAACCTGGCCCTCAAAATATAATACATGCCAAATTGCAGCAAACAAGGAGACACTATCACATAACAAATTATCAGCAAAACTTTCCTATTTGTTTTCCACCACCTTATACAATTTTAATAACCTGCTGTATGAGAAATCATCTTAATTTTCTGAAACTAAGTAAAAGATACATAGTGCTGCATAAGGGATGGCTTTCCTACATGGAACTAATTAGTGTCTAGTGTTACACCTAAACATAAAAGGTCTGGTAAGGGCTGATTTCCAGAAGCACTTCCCAGTGAAGGAAACTGAGTTTATAATGTTAAACTGTTATACAATTAACAAGGATTAACTATCTTTTTTTTTTTTTTAAGTGGGTCCTGCTTCTTCACAACTGGAAAGGGGAAGGGTCTGGTAAAAGGAGGGGGCAGATGAATGAGTGGAGTAGCAACGGAGTGATGGACAATTAGAACTTTTAAAATAATAAAATACTATCAGTTTAAGAGATTAAGGGTACCATTTAATACTCACATTAATAAGAGGTCTCTAGAACTTTTCCCTTGCATGTATTATCAGATGTAAAACCTGAGACACTTATACAAAGCTGACTGACTAGGCCATGTTCGTATGGAATATTTAGAGGTGCTATGAATTCTCTACAGAGTAATATGTTTAATGACTTTAAAATCTGAAAAGTTGTCCTGGCTAGTTTTGCTCAGCGGTTAGAGCGTCAACCCACGGACCAGAGTCCTAGGTTTGGTTCCCGCTAAGGGCATGTACCTCGGTTGCAGTTTGTCCCCGGCCCCGGTTGGGGTCCTGTGGGTAGCAGCCTGTCTGTCTGTCTGTCTGTCTCTCTCTCTCTCCCCCCCCCTCCCCTCCTCCTCTCCCTCTGTCCCTCTCCCTCTCCTTCCCACTCTATCTGAACAAAATATGGGAAAATATCCTCGGGTGAAGATTTAAAAAAAAACAAAAAACTTTTTCCTATGCCATTCATCTTCACTAAAAATGATAATCTCTTCCTTAATTCTTCAAATATTAAATTCACCTTCTAAAAATTATGCACTATGTTCAACCAAAACAGCCTTTTTGAATTAATGTATATGGTAAAGTAAAATTATTTTTGTCAACGGTAAGGAAAATTTCAACTTACATTTTTGCAACTTCTTTTACAACATCACGGCAGGTCATTTCTTTCATCTACAGAAAATAAAATATAGATTAAATAAGTTATGAGTCAAAGGAAAAGAATTATTTTCCACTTATGTAACTATTTTTAGATTCTTTTCACAACCTATATAAAACACCCATGCTCTTGAGATAGATCCTCAGAGATAAAACCAAGGAAAATAACCTAAACATCCCAAAAGACCAGAACCTAAATTTCTTGATTCAGTTTAATGTTTTTAAATTATTATGCCAAAACATAATCTGGACGACCCTAATCTGGGCATCACTAATTTTGTGATGAGTATTAATATTTATAAAAATTCAGACCCCTCTATAAGTAATTAATTCACAGGCAGACCATGATATTTAAAAGACTGGAGAAGAATTTTTTTTCTTTACAACCAATTTGGGATAATTAAATGCAAACAAGCCTGGCCAGTGTGGCTTAGTGGACCAAGCATCATCCCATGGACTGAGAGGTCCCAGTTCGATCCCTGGTCAATGCATATGCCCAGGTTGTGGGCTTGATCCCTACATAGTAGGGGCCGTGCAGGAGGCAGCCAATCAATGTTTCTCTCTCACATAGGTGTTTCTATCCCTCTCTTCCTTTCTCTCTAATAAGTAAATAAATAAATCAAGTACAAACAAATCATGCATACCTACTGTATGCAAGATACATGATTACAAAAAACTGTCCCTTGTGGAATTATTAAAGACAAAATTCAAGACAAAAATGTAAAACGCCAGGGAAAACTTTGACGAAGCAAGAGTTGCGTAGGTTCTTAGGATTTGTAGGTACTTGGGATTTGTTTTGATTCTGAGGAAGATAAATAAAATACACAACGCAAAAGTCAGAAGCCAAATCTTACTAATATGAGAATTAGTGTTCTTGTAGTGAACATTTGGAAATCGGGGTAGAAAAACAGCCCTTTGCCCTGGCTAGTTTGGCTCAGCAGTTAGAGCATCAGCCGCGGACCAAAGGGTCATAGGTTCAATTCATGATCAAGGGCAGGTACCTGGATTGCAGGTTTGATCCCCAGCCCTGGTCTAGGTCATGCTAGAGGCAACCAATCAATGTGTCTCTCACACTGATGTTACTGCTCTTTCTCCCTCTCTCCACCACCCCTCTCCTCCCTCCCTATCTAAAATCAATGAAAAAATATCCTGGGGTGAGGATTAACAAGAAAGAGAAAAAGCCCTTAAGATACCCAGTAGAGAAGTTTGTAAAAACGGTAGGTACTTGGATATAACCAATGCAAGATTTTATTAGGCTATGGGTTTCTGAACACATGTGACAAGATCGTGAAAAAGTTTGCGCAAACTGTTGTTCACATTCTGGATATGTTGGGGAGGGTGGAAATGTAAAAGATAAAGGATGTTCATAAAGCAGTCTAGACTTGAGGTGATTCAATTACTTTACGTTCATCAATATTTTAGTTTTGGTATTTACTAAATTTTAAGATTCTGATGCTCTGTGCCTACACCATATGAGGAAGCAGGAACAAAAATCGTAATACTGAGTTACATTTAAGAATACCAATCTTGCCCTGGCCGGTTTGGCTCAGCGGTTAGAGCGTCGGCCTGCGGTCCAGAGAGACCCGAGTTTGGTTCCCGCTAGGGGCGCGTATCTCGGTTGCAGTTTGTCCCCAACCCTGGTTGGGTCATGCAGGTGGTGGCCACTTGATGTGTCCCTTTCACGTTGATGTTTCGCTCTCTCTCCCCCTCCCACTCAATCTGAACAAAAAGTGGAAAAATGTCCTCAGGTGAGGATAAAAAAAAAAATACCAATCTTGTTAAGAAATGGACAAATCTGGTATGTGGAACCACCTACAAAATGATGTTTTTGGTAAACAATATTGGAAGAAAAACAGGCCAGAGCAATGATATAGAGCAGCAGTTTGCAAACTCTTCTATAAAGAGTCAAACAGTAAATATTTTCGACTTTATGCTCCACATGGTCTTTGGTCTGTATTACAACTATCAAACTCTACTGCTGTAGTGTAAAAGTAGCCATAGGTAGAATGTGGCTGTGTGCCCATAAAACTTTTAAAAGTAGAAAATGTACCATAGTTTGTTGACCTGATTTAGAGCATTGTTTTTGTCATTTAGGTATACATGTTCCTGAAGTGAAGTGATCTTTCTCAATTCTTTACTAGGATTTCTTGATATTCCCATTCCTTGCTAGATTTAACCTCAGAAAGACAAAAAGTTACTTGACTGCTCTAAATGCTCTCTTCAAATTTCTACACAATAATAAGGAAAGATGAAAGCAAAAGGGAAATGAGTGGACGATAGGAACTTAGCGATACACCAGGAAGTGTGTGATGGAAAAGAACACTGGTCTAAAAGTCATAAGGTCTAGGACCTATTCATAACCAATGTAATTCTATGATTCTGGCCAGTCTATTTAATCCAAGATTGTGGTTGAGCTAAGTGACATCTGAGGTTCTTTTGTGGATTTTATTAGAACACCAAACATTAATTAGCCTTTATAGAACTAGAATATGGTATTACACTTCAAGTGCTAAAAAGATGTTCTATAGAGCCTGGCCTTAAATGCATTGAAGTACTTGAGCAAGGTTCCGTATAATGTACTAAAATATTGTTAAGTCATATGTCTGCCTTTTAGGGAAGTTTCTGACAAGCAATAAAGAGTTGGTAGACACTGTTTCAATTTTTTTTATTTTAATCCTCACCCGAGGACATTTTTCCATTTTTTGTTTAGATGGAGTGGGAGGGGGGAGAGAGGAAGAAAGAGAGAGAAATATTGACGTGAAAGGTACACATCGAGTGGCTGCCACCCACATGACCCATCCAAGGCTGGGGACAAACTGCAACCAAGATACGTGCCCTTAGCAGGAATTGAACCTGGGTCTCTGGACCCTAGGCCGATGCTCTAACCACCGCTGAGCCAAATCAGCCAGGGCAACACTGTTTCAATTTTAAGTTGATCAATTTGGCTAAAAGAAAAACCAACAAAATTTTAAGAAAACTTTTTTACACTAAAGATGAATTTCTGGCCCAGTAAGTATGGCTCAGTGGATTGAGTGTCCTCCCATGGACTGAGAGGTCCCAGTATGATTCCCAGTCTGGGCACATGCCCTGGTTGTGGGCTCGATCTCCATTAGGGGGCATGCAGGAGACAGCGATTAATATTTCTCTCTCACATCAATGTTTCTCCCTCCCTCCCTTCCTCTCTCTCTCTAAAAAATCGTGTGTTTTGGGTTTTTTTTTTTTTTCTGGTATGTGCCCCTAGCGGGAACCGAACCCGGGACTCTCTGGTCCGCAGGCCAATGCTCAACCGCTGAGCCAAACTGGTCAGGGCTAAAAAATCATTTTTTAAAAAGATGAATTTCTGGTTCTTGGGGGAAGAAAAAATGAGTACTTGGAACAGGACAGAGTTTCATGTCTTATGTAGGTAGGAATAAAAGAAAGAAGCACTGACTCTCAATGTAAGACTTCCATAGACAAAAGTGCTCCAGAGAAGAAAGAAATGATAGAATAAAACACTCAAGTTCTCAACCTGAGAAGGCATATAGGGTTCCATGAATGGGTTTAACAATTTTTGTGAAATTATATGGTAATTTATTTGTATTTTTCTGGATTAAGGGTTTACAGTAAGTAGACATCAAAATCACAAAGGGATTCATGACACAATTCTACAAGTAGTATGTTACCAGCTTTCCCTGTGCAATAAGCTGTGCTCAAAACAGCAAACCACACTATATCCTTGGTCAAAAAGGTTTAGTTTGTGGTATAAAACTTCACTGCATGAGGACAATGTTATAGCAAAAATTCAAGCATTAAGTTTGTATTACCTGAAGCTTTTCTATTTCTGTCTTTGCAGCTTGCCTGGCCTTGCCAATAGCACAGCCCCAATAACCCTATTTAAAAAGAACACACACACACACAATTCAGTTAACATATTATCATAAATCACTAATGACTACTGTTTCTGTTTAAAGATTAATGAAAGAATGTTAAATGACTTTCAAAAGCAAGTATGGAGAAATACAATCAAACATTCTAATGAACACCAAGGGGCTCTAAATAATTAAAACACCAAACTTAATTCTATAACAATATAGATTATTTTTAATAAAGGTCTTTCCAAAGAAAACAAATTATATCATTATATACTTCATGAACTAGAGACATTTAGGAGAATAGGAATGAAAAAAGTTAAGCATTATAACAATGAAAAAAGTTATTTCTGAAAGAAATTCCTATGAGTTCTATACTCTAGAGTTCGTTATATTATAAAGGTTATTTTAAAAATTAACATGTTCATTTATACTTATATATAATGATAAAATGTAAAGTCTTCATTTTTAAAATATTACTAAAAACCATAAAAATCTCAGAAAACAGAGGAAGGCCCAAGAAATCCCATTTAAAGTCTCCTTTTTAAAAGGGAAAATAGCCCTGGCCAGTTTGGCTCAGCGGTTAGAGCGTCGGCCTGCGGTCTGGAGAGACCCAGGTTCGGTTCCCGCTAAGGGCACGTACTTCGGTTGCAGTTTGTCCCCGGCCCTGGTTGGTCGTGCGGGTGGCAGCCACTCGATGTGTCCCTTCACGTCGATGTTTCTCACTCTCTCTCCCTTCCTCTCTCTCCCTCCCACTCTATCTGTACAAAAAATGGGAAAAAAATATCCTCGGGTGAGGATAAAAAAATAATAATAATAAAAAATGAAAAAAAAATAAAAATAAAAGGGAAAATAAACAGTTTTAAGACACTGCTACTCTTTACAGTAATAAAGGAAATGTTACGTATTTAAATGTTTGTGTTCACTATGCTGTTTTTATAAACAGCATTCTGAAAACTACAAATGTTTCCTCTGCTTCATATTCATAGGTTATTGTTATTAATGACAAACAAAATGTTACTACTTTCCTTGAATGAATTTTAAGGAAACTTCATGTAAGATACCATTAAACTAAAAATAGAATTCTATATAATTCAAAATTACTCACATATGAAACACCTGATGGGTCAATCATGTAGAGTTGTGCACCGTCATTCACACTGTAAGACCCTAACATGAAACTGCATAAAAGTAAATTGATTGTTTAAACCATGGTTCTTAAGACCCTAAAAGTATTTTAAAAAAACAGTGATATAAATGAAATTAAACTTTCTAAGATAAACTACATATATATATTTATTACACACTTTGATAAGGTAGTTTTAATATAAACTTGTATGTTTTTGACACTGTTCAAAATTCATGTGACTTTGTTTGTTCAGTATTAAAGCTGCCCATTAAATTTTCCTGGGAGAAAAGCAGTGCAGACAAAGAAGTAATGACATAGATGGAAAACTAGTAAGAGGGCCCCACAGGTAAAAACATAAATATGAAAAAAACCAGGATGACAAAATTCCCGATGTGAATACACTGAATCTACCTCAAACTCTTGTTCCACCCTTCATTCTTTTTTGGCTCACCCCCCCCCCCACACACACACACACACATACATTCCTCTAGTTATTTTTCTGCAATAATCCAAATTAGTTCAATGCATTTTTATATGCTTAACAAATTAGACTATTAAACTATCATGTGAATCACTGATTTTCTGAAATTGTGATTTCTTTTAAGTAGAAAAGAAACCAGCCTCATATGTACCATTTCATGTACTGAAATGGACAGCCACCAGTCCAATTCCCACCCCTACCCTACCATCATTCCCTTCCATACCACATGGCTATGAGACCTAATTTCAGAATATATAACTGATTATCATTATTTTAAAACCCTTCAATGTTTTCTTAGTATGGAGCAGACTTCTGTATTATCTGGACACTCCCTACATCTTCATTAGCATGTAAATCTTAGGGTTACAAACCAAGTATACTTGACTCCTCTGCATTACCTGAAATGCCCAGGTAATTTCCTACCAGTCCCTTTGCTTGAAATACCCTTATCAATCCCCCTACATCTCACCTCCTCCTTTCCTTGCCAACTCTAGAAAAAAGCCGTTCCCTAACTGGTGCCCCATTATACTCAGTACACACATACCTTTATCATTACCACCTCTAAAACTGTATTAATGGTGACTTACTTATCTTTGTGCCCTCCCATCCATCTATAACTAACTCATGGTATATGCTCAATCTTCACTTGAAAAGTTTTCTCCTCTCCACTATTCTCACTCCCTTAAAAATAGAACTGATTAATTAAGAGCTCAGTTGAAAGGTTAAAAATGAAAGGTATTCTATGAAGTCTGAAAGCTGTAATTTAAGTGAGAACCTTAAGAACAGCTAATATAAAAAAAATCCACATGTCTAACCTATTGCCAGTAGAATAATACTCAGGTTTTCGCTAATATCTGTCCCCCTCAGTAATTCAAATATGGTGATTATAAACAACTCAAAGGTAGGACTAAAGCTAATAAACTTTCTATAACCTTTAACAGTGGCAAGCACTCAGGACTAGTAAATGTTTATTTTAATATGATTGACTTGTTTATTTTTTAAAAGTTATAAACTAAATATGTCTTTTTATTTGAGGGAAATCTAGAATCATGACAGATCTCTGAGAAGCCATATCTGAATATTTACAACCAAGCCGTATCTGAATACTTACTCTAGGTTTTGATGCAACTGAGTTCTAGCTTTCCCCAAAAATAAAAATACAAGCATTCCACCTTAACAACAGTAAGAAACTGAGACTAACAGGGACTTGGAATGTAATTTTGTATGCATTCATTACTGACTGCTAAAAAAAACTCCCATTTAAGAGCATTTTACGTAACTGCTTAAAGTATACAGATGGAAATTAATGAGAACAATAAGATGTCAGTATAGCTGGCTTGGCTACCTAATAATGACAACAGGGAGTATCAGTTTGAAGTTTCCTGAGAATGTCAGGGTCTAACATCATAGAATGTTTCTTTGTTTTATTGAAAAATAATTGACATATATCGCTGTATCAAAGTTTTAGATGTACAGCATGATGGTTTGATTTACAAAATACTGTGAAATGACTACCACAATATGTTTAGTTAACACCCATCATCTTATATAAACAAACAGAAAAAAATGTTCTCCTATGATGAGAAGTCATAGAATGTAACTTTCCTTTATATCCTAACTATAGTCATCAGGTTGTACATTACATCCCTAGGACTTATTTATCTTGCAACTAGAAATTTGTTCCTTTAGACCAGACTACCTTCCTCCAGAGAACTGATCACAGTCATATTAATATTACTGTAAGTTTTATGTTTTATCTTCAGTTTAAGTCTCTATATATAGTGTTTTCCACTAGTCAAATTTTTTATTTTTATGTACACTGTTGTATTTAATCACTGCCCTAATGCTTCTTAGTAATAGTTCACATTTTAAGGGTATAAAAGGCTAAAATGCTGGGGAAAACACACAGTACAGATCTGACTGAATATTCTTAGAAAATTTCATACCTGCAGCCAAAAGGTCTGACAGCACTGTAGAGTGTATATGCATGTACATACATGGCCACTCTGTCTGCAAGATGCTGGGGAGGGGAGGAAAACAGAAGAGCTTATTAGTAAACTTCTATTACTGTTCAAAAGCTTCCTCACCATGTTATCAACTTACTTTTAGTGGAATGTTATAGCCAAAGTTAGATCTAAAGTTGGAAGCTTCTTCTCTTGCGATGTCTGCTAAAGAACGAGCATCTGCCAACAAACCTGCTACTGCCTGAAATAAAGTAAGTACCAATTTAATAGATACACCTAGCATAAATCAAGTAAAGTATGTAATTACTGTAGGCTTTAAAAACATTTAACAAGCATTGCCATTAATAATAAGTTTTTTTGGCTTAAAGGTCTTCATAAGGCATTCTGGCATTTTGATGCTTGGGTATGGGACTGCAATTTAGAAATTTACCTAGTTTGACTTTATTCCCTGTCCAATGATCACATTCAGAAAAAATATTTCTATAATCAATCCTCCATGTCTCCCTATTTACCACTTCATTATAAACAATAAAACAAAACAAATAAAACTTTTGGTCTTGGTAAGGACTGATTTTTTTTAATTTAAAGTAGTTCTATGTTCAAAAAGTTATTAAAAGTTTTGGTCTAGACATCACAACCTCAAGTCTTTTTCAGCCTACTGACTAATAAGTTGCAGTGCCGAACCAAAATGTGACAAACCACATTATCTTCTAAGATTCGTGGCTTACAAGTGAAATTACCAAAACCATGTACCGAGACAGTCTACAGCACTGTAAAGAACTCAAAGAGTTGTGGGACATTAAGTTTGAGGGAAACATTTGTTGAAGCGTTTCACAGTTTCAACATCAGATCATTCTACACTTCTTTCAATACATCATATCACTGAGAAAGGTTGCTGTGATAAAAATAAGTACTGTGGCCCTGGCCGGTTTGGCTCAGCGGTTAGAGCGTCGGCCTGCGGTCCGGAGAGACCCGGGTTCGGTTCCCGCTAAGGGCATGTACCTCGGTTGCAGTTTGTCCCCGGCCCTGGTTGGTCGTGCGGGTGGCAGCCACTCGATGTGTCCCTTTCATGTCGATGCTTCTCTCTCTCTCTGTTCCTCTCTCTCCCTCCCACTCTATCTGAACAAAAAATGGAAAAATGTCCTCGGGTGAGGATAAAAAAAAAATAAAATAAAATAAGTACTGTGTAAAAATTAATGTGGAACAGGAAATGAGAAGGGCATCATGTAACCTGATTGCAAAGTTTAGAAGTAGTACAGTACACATTAATTGTGATTGTAAAAGTAAAAATATATTTCTTTTACTTTATGTGCATTTTTTTATAGCTACTTAGTTTTTAGGATATAAACACTAAATTGTTTGGACCCAAATACATAATAAATAGAACCGCTGTATTTTTTTGGCCTAGGGAAGCCATGGGAAAAAAAAATTAGGGTTACTAGGAACCAAGAAAATCTAGAAACAGCTTGTTTAGGAAATCTGCAGAATTGAGAAGTGGTATCAGAATTTTTAATAGCCTTTTATCTACTTCTTCCTACTAATAGTAACAATGATGAAAATTCCTAATGCATATTGATTACTCATTACATGCTAATAAGCATTTTACATAATTATTTTTAATAATGTCAACAACTGTATGAAGTAGGTACTATTACCACTATAGTTTTGCAGATGAGAAAACTAGTGTTTAAAGTGACTTTCCCAAGGTTACCCAGCCAGTAAATGTCACCATTTAAATCATCTATTGGTTTGGAGAAAACTTATTATAAAGTCTTAAAATTCTCAAATCACTTGAAGATGACAATTGTGGAAACAAAACATTAATCCTTCATTGTTCCTAAATATCTTCAATGTCCAGTATTTTGCCAATTTCTCGCTATAAGGAATGCCATCAGTTTCCTGGCTTTAAATAACATTTGGTAAATTTTTGAAAATTCTAGAACAATTTTTCTATCACCAAAGTGCCTATATGCATATATTATTTTTTTTAAATACCCCTACCTAAAGTGATTTTTAAAAAGTGAAAGAATGCCTAATTCACTAGTTCCCCTCCTATCAGCTAGATTGCAGTATGGCAAGTGTCATCAAAACATATCAGTTTCATTGGCAATAATACATTTGTTCAGGAGAGAAAATATGTTCAGAAAAAATAAAGATTGAAGAGGCAAAAAAATATATATTTATTTGTAGCTTTTCAGTTTACTGGTTATATTTACTAGTCTTTTTTGTGTTTGTGTGTACATATCTCATTTGGAAATACCAAAGCTTACAGGAGAGTGTGTTCTATAGGATCTCATGCTGCAGAATGAGTTCTGGAGTAACATGTAGGCCATGCAAACTCAAAAGTCTGAATCTCAGTTTATATCTTGACCAGCTGTAGAGGTCTGTTTTCTCATCTGTAAAAATGGGATTAGCATTATGTACTTTCATCACTGATTCGTCAGGATTAAATGAGATAATTTATAGAGCCTCTAGCATAGCACCTAGCAGAAAGGCTTTCTCTTTTCTTCCTAGCCTTTTCAGTAAGCAGGGTTAGAATCCTTTATTTTCCTTTTTTAGATTGTTCTTACTGAAGAAAGTCTAACATATAGGATGACACAAATATACACCAGTAACGTATTTATGACATGCCTTGCAACTGTGCAATGCAGTCATTCAAGAAACCAGCTGCATGAAATAATTTAAATCAGTGATGCCTATGAAACTATTAAAAAGGATATGTTCACTTTTCCTTTCATTAAACATTCTTTCCTGATGCTCCACCTTACTATAAAGGTATTCTTTACATGATAATATCTTCAGTATGACAGTGATCCTCGCAAGGGATACAAAAACCTAAAGATTCTTTGTCTCTCAAGAATATGCCTTCATCAGTGATCTATGCTGCCAATATCTCCTTTTCTTTCTTTCTTTTTATAAATGTTTTTTTATTTTTTATTTTTATTTTTTATCCTCACCCGAGGACATTTTTCCATTTTTTTTGTTCAGGTAGAGTGGGAGGGAGAGAGAGGAACAGAGAGAGAGAGAGAGAAACATGGATGTGAAAGGAACACATAGAGTGGCTGCCACCCGCACAACCGACCAGGGCCGGGGACAAACTGCAACCGAGGTACGCGCCCTTAGCGGGAACCGAACCCGGGTCTCTCAGGACCACAGGCCGACACTCTAACCGCTGAACCAAACCGACTAGGGCTATAAATGTTTTTATCGATGTTTTGGAAAGGGAGAGAAACATCGATGTAAGAGAGAAACACCAATTGGCTGTCTCCTGCACACCCCCTACTGGGGATTGTCCCTGAAACCTGGGGGCATGTGCCCTAACCAGAAATTGAACCAGGACCAGGACCTCTCAGTCCAGGGGATGACGCTCAATCCACTGGGCCACACCAGCCGGGTTACTATCTCTTTCTTTAAAAAAAAATTTTTTTCTTTATTGATTTTTGGAGAGAGAGGTAGAAACATCAATGAGAGAGAACATTGATTAGCCACCTCCTGCATGCCCCTCACTGGGGATTGGGCCCACAACCTGGGCATGTGCCCTGACTGGGAATCAAACCAGCAACCTCTTGGTGCACGGGTCAATGCTCAACCACTGAGCCACACCAGCCGGGCTAACATCTCTTTTCTATACATACTTCTCACCACTCTCCCCTTCTGCTTTTCTTAAGGCAATTTGGTTTTTCATATTTACTTCCAATCAAGTTATGAGAACTGTTCACAAACTAGAAACTCTCTGTGATTACTTCTGTGGCTGCTTTCTAATCTGTTTCTGCCTCAATGCTAAAGTAATAAATGGGTTCTTATAATTACATTTTAATATGTTCAATCAGTAACTTTACAAGAAATTGGACAAGGCAAAAAAGAACATTTTTAAATGGGACCTTACCATTCCAACATGCCGATCAACATTAAAAAGTCGTTTGTTGGACCCTTCTTCATAAAGTTTAGAAAGGACTAATTTTTCTACCCCAAAGACAACGCCATCTTTACATCTGATTCCAATAGCTGTACTGAAACAAGCAGAAGAAAATCAATTTTTTTAATGAAAATAAACTTCATAAATAAAACACAAAAATAGGTAACATTTGATTTTTTTAAAGCATGATAAGTACTTTAAAACAAATACATTTGAAAAGTAGAAAGGGGAAACTACCTAAAATACAGTAAATTGTATATATATAAATGGATATCATGTGACCAAAAAAAAATCTATTATGACATAAAAGGATATTAACACAAATGAAAAAAAATGCTAACAGAGTATGTATAAAATGGCCCTGGCCAATGTGGTCCAGTGGTTAGGGCATTGGCCCATACACCAAAGGGTCCTGGGTTTGATTCCCAGTCAAGGGCACATACCTTGGTTGCAGGTTTGATCCCTAGCCCCGGTCCCAGTGCATGCAGGAGGCAACCAATCAATGTGTCTCATATCTATGTTGATGTCTCCACCCCTGCGCCCCCAACTCCCTTCCACACTCTCTAAAAATCAATGGAGAAAATATCCTCAGGCGAGAATGAACAAAAAAGAATTTTTTTCCTTTTTTAAATCCTCACCTGAGGATACTTTTTCATTTATCTTCGGAAAGAGTGGGAGGGAAAGAGGAGGGGAGAGAAAACGAAACATTGACTGGTTGCCTCCTGCAAGACCCCAACCAGGCTTAGGGACCAAACCACAACTGAGGTACTACTACGTGCCCTTGACCGGAATTGAAACCGGGAGTCTTTGGTCCATGGACCTATGCTCTAACCGCTGAGCCAAACCAGCCAGGCCACAAAAAAAGAATTTAAAAAAATATGTACAAAATGGCACAGTGTCTGGCATATAACCGTATTATATATAACAAATGTTGACTAAATTTATATCCATTAAAAATGGTACATAATATGCATAGAAGAGACAGGCTATATACAAGCTAGAAAGTTGACTAATTTGGGTAAAAAGATTATAATTCTTCTTATTTGTTCATTAGCTTTTTCTGCATTAACCATGCATTGCTTATAATAAGTATATAAAAAGAATAAAATATGTTTGGACAACTGTTTAAAACAAAACAGATCTTGAAGTAACCTCTTAAGTGAAATGTGGAGAAACTATATGTTGCCATTTTAATATGAAAATACACTAATTACTTTATTCTTCTAATCCTTTTAATAAAGGGAATTCTGATTATAAACAACCAGAAAAATGAACAGAACCACATACACACAGTGCAAAGAATTTCAGACACTGCTGCCCCCACACTTCAGGTATCTTCAGTGGCTTCCCTTTCAAGTTTTAACTCCTTGGCTCACCTTTCAAAAATCTTGAGAATCTGCAAAGCCCATCAAAGCCCATTCAATTTCCTATTTAATATCCAGTGTTCTCTTAAATTCAACCTCAGTGTCATCCCTCAAACACCTTATGTTCATTTTTGCTAAGTCATTGAGGTTGCCCTGGGTGTTAGAATACACTTCCTCCTCACCACTGCATATTTAAATAAATTTTTACAAACTTTGGGAAACTCACTTAAATTCTTCAGCCTCAGGTAGCCTTCTTACTCATTCCAAGTCATCATCTTCCTCACTGAACAATTCTTTATTCTAAACTAAAAGATCTCAAAAGTGTTGTCTGTGAACCCGAACCCCCTGGGGATCCCTGAGACCCTTACAAGGGGATCTGTGAGGTCTAAATTATGTTCATAAAAATATAAAGACATCATTTGCCTTTTCCACTGTGTAGACATTTGTACTATGCTACAGTACAGAAACACTCGTGGATAAAACTGCTGGCACGTTAAAACAAATCAAGGTAATAACAACAAATGGTAGTAGTAAACTTATACTAATCATATTCTTTACTGCTATGCTCTCACAGTTAAAAAAAAGCAACTTTTAGCTTAATCTCTTGACAAAGCAGTGATTAATTTTATTAGATGACAACTATTAAGTACCTGTCTTTTTATTATTATACTGAAATAGAAGTACTCAGAGTACTTCTGTTGTACATCAAAATATGATAGTTGCCTAAGGAACAAGCACTGGAGAAACTGTTTTGAGTTGTGAATTTTCTCATGGACCACCTGTTTTTACCTTCAATGAACATCAGACAAACTATGGTTATTTACACTTAGGTATAAGGCAATTTTTTTTTTCTACAATGAACAAGTGAGCCTGTCACTTTAAGGAAAACAAATGACTGTATTTTATTGTGATAAAATTCATGTTTTCAAGCATAAATTGGAATTTTGGAAAACATATTCACGCCTGTGAGCTTGTTTCCCAATTCTTACAAACTTTTATGATCAGGTCGATGGTAATATTAACAAGTGTAATGTTTCTGATAGTTTATAACAAGTATGTCAAATCTGAAAGATCTGTTGTAACTCAGTGAACCAATATTTTCCAAAAGACCAATTCATAATGTTACAAATCATGCATGGGTAAAACATCCAAAGTTCAAGACAACCCAACAGATTTTAATTTCCAAGTTCAAAAAGTTTATTAGTAAATTTTTAGACACCACACTCTAAAAAAAACTTGTAAGAAATTACAATTTGTCTAGTTTTGGTGTGGTATTATAGAACATCTATAACTATCTGAAAAGGCTATTAAAATACTCCTCACTTTTCCAACTGCATTCCTGCATGAAGCCTGATTTCCTTTACATGATTCAATAAAAGTAACAATGAAGCAGAAGCAGATATGAGAATGTCTTTTATTAAGTTTCAATTAACTACTGAGATTTACAGAAATGTAATACAATGCCACTCTTCTCACTACATTTTTTTCTACATCTTGGATAAAGTTATTTTTTATTAAAAATGTTACTAATATTAAATATTTCTAGTAATATTAATTTAAATTATGTTAACATGCAAGTGTTTATTATTATTTTGAATGAGTATTTTATATTTTGTTTTTAAATCTAACATGGTAAATATTAATAGGACCAATAACCTGCATAAATAAAAGACCTTTGAGGTCACAGTAAAATATCGATAGATCCTATAGCCTACATAAAAAATGTTCTCTGAGCCATCAACAAATCATCAAACAAGTGTTGGCGAGTGTGTGGAGAAAAGGGGACTCTAGTACACTGCTGGTGAGAATGCAGATTAGTGCAGCCACTGTGGAAAACACTATGATGTTACCTCAAAAAGTTAAAAATTGAGACTTCTGGTCAAGATAGCGGTGTAGGTAACCACGGTATCGCGTCCTCCCACAACCACATCAAAGTTACAACTAAACTACAAAACAACCATCATTCTAAACCACTCGAAATCAAGCTGAATGGAAGTCCTACAACTACAGAATTAAAGCAGCAGCCCCATCGAGACTGGTAGGAGGGGTGGAGGCAGACGGACTGGTCCCACACCCACGTGTGGCAGATAAAAATTAGGAGGATAACCTCAGCTGGGAAGGTCTGCCCTGAGGACTGAGGGGTCCCCGTCCCATACCAGGCGCCCTGCTCAGGGTTCCTGTGCCAGGAAGAGAAGTCCCATAACTTCTGGCTGGAAAAACCTGTGGGAACTGAGGCTCAGGGAGGCTGAGGTGGCTGGAGCCCCAGGCAGCTCCTTTTTTTTTAATCTTCACCCAAGGACAGTCTTCATTTTTTTTTTTGGTAGAGTGGGAAGAGGGGGGAGAGAGAGAGAGAGAGGCACATCCGACGTAAAAAGAACACATCGAGTGGCTGCCACTCGCACAACCAACCAGGGACGAGGTCAAACTGCAACTGAGGTACGTGCCCTTAGCAGGAACTGAATCGGGTCTCTCTTGACCACAGGCTGATGCTCTAACCGCTGACCCAAACCGGCCAGGGCCAGGCAGCTCCTCTTAAAGGGCCCACTCATGGACTTACTCGGACTTGCTCCCTCTGAGCTCTAGAGTGGGGGAGGCAGCTCAAAAGGTACCAGAGACATACAGGGAAGAAGTGAGTTGTTTCCCATTGGGGCAAGGGCTGGAGAGGCATCTTTCTCCTGGACAGGGGCCTTTGTTCCTTTAGTGAGCCCTTCTCCCACAAGGCCGGCAGAGGGCCTCCACATCTGGGACTCCAGCAACCTGGCTCACACTGGTTGCCCCGCCCTGGTGATTTGGAGGCCCAGCCCCACCCAGTTTTCAGGCCCATCCAAACTGTTGCCAGTTGCTTTACCATATGATTGGCCTGTCTTTTTTTTTTAAACAATTTTAGTTTTTTTTAATCCTCACTTGAGGACATTTTTTCATTTCTTGTTCAGATAGAGTGGGAGGGAGGGAGGGAGGGAGGGAGAGAGAGGGGGGGAGAGAGAGAGAGAGAGAGAGACATCGATGTGAAAGGGACACATGGAGTGGCTGCCACCCGCATGACCAAACCAGGGCCGGGGACAAACTGCAACAGATGTACGTGCCCTTAGCGGGAACCGAACCCAAGTCTCTCTGGACCACAGGCTGATGCTCTCCCAGCTGAGCCAAACCAGCCAGGGTGGACTGGCCTATCTTGAATTCTGCTTCTGGTTTTCCTAAATTCTTTCAAACATGCAGTATCCGGTCTCAGCTAGCCCCATACCTCTCGTTAAGTAATACATAGAAACAAACACAGGGAGGCTGCCATAATGAGGAAACAAAGAAACAGGTCCCAAATGAAAGAACAGAATAAAACTCCAGGAAAAGAACTAAGTGAAATGGAGATAAGCAATCTAACACATGCTGAGTTCAAAATAGTGCTTATAAGGATGCTCAATGAACTTAGTGAGAAACTCAGAGAACTCAGTGAGGGCCTCAAGAGCATAAAAAGGGACCAGTCAGAAATGAAAGATGCACAGTCAGAAATGAAGGAGGTACTAACTGAAATAAAGAATAATTTACACAGATTCAATAGTAGAGTAGGTAAAGCCAAGAAGCAAACCATCAATTTGGAATATAAGAAAACAAAAAAACACCCAATCAGAAGAGCAAAAAGAAAAAAAAAATACAAAAAAATGAGGATAGTGTAAGGAGCCTCTGGGACAACTTCAAGCGTGACAACATTCGCATCTTGGAGGTGCCAGAAGGAGAA